AAATCCCTCCTTGGGGGGGATTAGAGGGCAGCTCGCCAGCAGGGAAGTGCAAAGGGTCAGAACAAAGTGCTCTGTTCGCCAGAGGCTGTGCCGGGTCACATGCCAAGTCCTAGCAGAGGTAATGAGGCATGGGTCACCTCCCAAACACCAGCAAGACCTCCTGGTTGTGGACATGATCCATTGCCGACCCACCAGCAATCCTCAGAGCTTGCCAGCAAGGAAGGAGGTGGGCAAGGTGGAGCCTCATCCCCTGGCAGCACTGCGTCTGGAGCGGGGGATCCAGGGACTTTTACATGCATGAGCTTTGCAGGTGCGACAGCCCTACCACCCCATTCTGCCTCCTGTGTGTCCCTCCTCTGGCTCCACACTCCCCATCCTGGGCCACAGGTACAAGCACTTGAGTGGCCAACGAGGACCAAGCCCCATGGACACGTCAGAGCTGAGCCCAGAGGAACGCTCTTGGACCCAAAATCTACTGCCCTCCATTCATGCCCTCCCCCATTTGCTCCCTGTTCCTCTCCCCCTCTGCAGGTGCCCAGCACCAGTGGTCACCACATCCCTGCATGGGTGGGTGCCCAGATGACAGTTTGATTGTTGAGCATGCTGGTGGAGTCACTGCTGGTCACCAGTGGAGCCTCCAGCTCCTCACCCAAAATACAGACTTCATATGCAGGAGGTATTTTCTGATTACCCAGGAAGGTTTCTTTCACCCTCAGAAGCCCTTTTGTACTTGCCCCTCTTGTGGGAGTGGACCCCGATGTAGTTGGTCGATGGGTCCCATAGCTCTGAGAAAACATGAATGGCAGCACAATTCCTTGAGTGTTTGTCAAACTACTGATTTCTGACCATTGGCACGTGCCCGTCTCAGCTGGGCCTGTAAATCCCAAGGCAGAGAGGAGAAAGAAAAAGGGATACTGGACATGGAGGCCATTACAAAAGCAAAAGGGGGAGGTGGGATTTGAATACACAGACAGGCACAAAGGTGAATAAAATCAGATGATGGAGAACATCGGTGCTGCTGTCAAAATAAGTGTTTTCTGAAACAGTCTGGAATATGTGATTTGAAGCATCCAAGGTTCGTGAGGCCAAGCCAGCCAGCTGCCACCACAGCCAAGGTCTCCGGCTCCATGTGCAGAGCCATACCTGCCCCTCTGCGAGCTCCAGCGCCAGCGGCAGCACACAGAGAGGAGTGGGCTCAGCCCTCGCCTCGCTCCAGCTCCCACCGTCGGTCCCATTGGGTGGCATGGCCATGTGGGTCTGTGAGGATAACAGAGATTTGACATTACCCTCATGTCTCAGGGAACGAACCCACATAGAGGTCCCTATTGTACTTGAGGAACCATAAAGACACAGAGAGAGAAATAAATCCATTCCCTGCTAGCGCAGAGAGGGCCTTTGTTTGTCTCATTTTCAGAATGAGATTTAGGGGATTGCTGCAGCACATGACCAGAAGCTATGAAGCTGCAGACAAAATCCATTTGGAACAGAGATCAGACTTTGCCATCTTGCTAGCTTTTCGGAAGATTTCTGCTTTGTCCAAGTTAAACCTGCTGCTATTTTGGGTTTTATTTTGCTCACTCCTCTGCATCCCTTGCTTTAAAGGCTGCACATCACCCACAACACTGGGTTCACGTACGCTCTCACTAGCATCAGCACAGCATCAAAATGTCTGCTGCGGCAGGCTGGAGGGGGCTGCCTGTATTTCAAGCCCAAGTCACAAGGGTTGCACCAACAGCCGCACTCGTTCCAGCCACGGACAAGTTTAGAGGACAAAGCTTCAGCTTATTGCTTTGGCTTGCTGAGCGGGCTCGTTTCACAAGCTCATCGCACGTCAGCCGCGAGCGCGCGTCGGCACCGGGCAGAAACACGGAGGGAAGCGCTTGAGCAGAACTGACAGCGAGACAAAGCCCATTGGGGCTCTCTGGATAATCGCTGGCTTTACCACAGCTGAAAACTACAGCGAGCCAGACGCTGAGATGCCCTGTTGTCCCAGGCATCACAGAAATGCCTTGCAGAGTCCCTCCAGCCAGGCGGTATCTCCGGTCCCTGGGAAGCAGGGGCCTGGGGGGGCTGTGCCTAGGCAGGGTGTGGGGATTTGGGGTGGCCTTGCAGGGGCTAAGGGCATGCTCTGCTCATGCTCCCCTGCTCTGCACCCTGAGGCTTGGGAGCTCTCGGCTGCCCTGACTTTCCCCTATTGTCTTAAAAAAGGCACAAATCATCTTATAGCCCCAAATACCCTCCAAGAAGGAGCCATTTCTGTTCACAAGGGGGAAAAAACTGCTGAATTAGATTTAAAACCTCTGCCAAGTTAAAGCTTCATAAAACGGTTTCCCTCATCTTGTGCCCTGAACCAGAGAACCTTTGGCCCCTGAAAACCATGAAGACACAGGACAGGTCTGTCTGTCAGCGTCCCGCAGACACGCACAGGCAGCTGCCCGCAAGGAGAGGCGAGAAAGCCGCGCTGCCCCTGCGGCACGGCAGCTGTCCTGGCTGCATCCGTTTGCTTCCTGCGATCCGAATGGGGAGCACGGAGAGAAAAGCACCCTAAACCCACTGCGTGCAAAGCAGATGCAAGCCACAGATGTGCAGAAGGGTGTGTTAACCTTCCAGGGCTCCTCAGCTCTCCACTTACTGCCAGGATCCAAGGGGTTATCTCAGCCCTGCACAGGGCAGGGAGAAGACGGGCTGGATGTCCTCCCTTGCTGGTCCCTTCTCAGCACCCTACGGAGAAAACAGAGCTGGAACAGAGAGCTCACAGCTGAAGAAAAAGCTGCAGGCACCCATGAAGGAGGAGCTCCTTGCCCAGATCCACCAGCAGAGCTGTCTTCCCGCATCCCGGCAGGGAGATGCGATGGCTCTTGGGCTGTGCCGCTCTGCCGCCGAGGCCCTGGGGCTGCGAGCAGGCAGGCACCCCGCAGCCGGAGCCGGGGTGGGTTGGTGTGGGAAGCTTTGGCTGCTGCTGCCTGCCAGTGGGGCAGGCAGTCACGAATCACCTGCACTGGGATGGGGATGGGAGTGGGGGTGAGGATGAGGATGGGGATGAAGATGCGGATGGGGTTGAGGATGAGGATGAAGATGATGAGGACAGGGATGAGGTTGAGAATGGGGATGGGGCACAGCTGGATACCCCCAGAAAAGGGTACCAGCAAGGAAAGAAACATGGCTAATCTGGGGGACAGGTGCCCCATCACGATGCCCCCCACACCCACCCACAGTACCACACGTCCCTGTCCCCATGTAGAATAAACCCCACAGCTCCCCTGCACTTTCCTTTCAGAGGCTGCCTGGGAAACCATCTGAAATACTGTTTTATCCAGGAAGGGGCATCCCCCTGCTCCTGCCTGCAGCCCCTTTCCTCAGCTTGTGCTCATCCCCCCCCAGTACCGCATTGCGGAGCTGCCCGCTGCTGTGGAGGGCAGCTCCGCCAGCTCGGGCCAAGCAGGGGTGGGGGGACCCCCAGCACCTACTGGGGCTCGACACGATTTCAGGGCAATAAGAGGAGCCCCATGGGGTCCCCTGCTATGCCTGGGCTGTGGGAGCGCTTCCAGTGGGTGTGTCCCCCCCATCCTCTTCCCTGCTGTGCAGCGGCAATGGGCAGACAACAAATTATTTATTGTGGCTTTTAAATCAGTGTTTAAATCGAGGTGGTTTTGGTCACGGGTGCAGAGCGGGGGGCTGATCCGCGCCACA